CGACCCTTGGCGTATTAGTGTCGCATTGACACGTAAATTGACATGAAATTGAATCAATGCTGTAATATGTCCTTGGGGGAGGTCCCTGGGACCCACAAGGACAATGACTTTAAAATACGCAACTCCCTCTAAATATATATATATATATATATATACAGATCTGTGTGTGTGCGTGTGCTTAGCTCTCGTCTGGCAAATTGAGCTGTAGGCCATAGCCCCGTGACTGTGCAAATTTGGTGAGTCTGTCTGCATGTTTGATTATACGCACTAAATCATCTCATTCTTTCCGTTTTTGCCATTTTTTGTTCGAGGGTGCTGTGGAGTTTATTAACTTGTTTAAAGGCCAGCCGCGTTTAACCCTTTAAGGGCAGAGCCACCCCCTGAGGGGCTTGGGCTTGGGCTTGGGCTTGAAGGAATGAGAGTGTTGAGAAGGGTTTACATATACATTTTAAAAGAAATAATACAAATAAAATAGGAAATACCTCTCTCTATGGCTGGCTAGTTGAATTTCTCACATTTAACGCCCCAAATACACTCAATTAAGGGGTAAGAAGTAATTGATTTGTGCTCCCCCTTGATTGGCATTCACTTTCTGAGCCATTGAGGCCTCAACACAAAAAGCCTAAGCCCTCATTCTGACTCCCAGACTGGCCAGGATCCGAGCTGCATACATATACATATGTATTTATATTTGCTCAAGGGTTGAGAGTCAACATACTTTGATCTTTGCCTTTGACGGCGGCCCAGCCAAAAAAAAAAGAATGAGCAAAAAAAAGGGGTTTTTAAATAAATAATCTTAAATAGGGGAAAATTATGCACCACGTATGTACATACAGGCATTGTCTTGCCACTTTTCGTGGAAATTAACTCAGGCAGAAAATTCATTTACAACATTAGCGCCAACTTTTTTTTTTGCTCCTTCTTTATGACATAAATTACATCAAGCGCAAAATTTTAATATAATTTTCACTAAAAACGCAACGTGAAACTTTTTTAGTTACACGCCTTTTGGCCTCATCAGCGGGGGGAGGAGGAAGGAAGAGCCAAAGGAGCAAGGCGTGTGTGAAACAGGATATCCGCTGCGGAAGCTACAAATTTTCCACTTTTCCACACACACACACACGCATGGAGAGAGAGGAATGCTAAGAGAAGGGGGCATTTTTGAGGAAAAGCCACAGTGAACAAAAAAAGAGGGTTAAATATTTGTGATGCTTAAAAAAAATAAATATAACAAAAATATATTAGGTAAACAATATTAAAATATTTATTTTATAGCAATAAATAAAATATTTAATTATAATAAATAATTTAATGGTTTATATATTATTATTTTAACCAAAAATATTTGTATCCTTCTGTAACTTTCTTGTATTTAAAATTAACTAAAAAATGTATTAAAGTCTTTACAAAATACATTTCCATAAAATATTTTATTATTATTTTTCAATCCTTTCTCCCAGTGCAACCGATCCTTGTGGAAACTTGTCACTAATGTGCTTCTGCTTACAACGCCATTTTATATTTATTTCGTTAGAGCATCTCGGGGCGGTGAAAGGACCTCTCCAGCTCTCCAGCTCTCGAGCTCTCCATTCTCGACTCTCGTCTACTACAACTACTCTCGCTCGCTCGCACATATTTGCCGAGTCCTTTTAATCATTTGGCAAACTTTCTCTGACACGCAGGACGAGGGCCCCGTTAAAAGGAGTCAACTGCGAGTACATTTTCCGTATGCCAAAAAACTACTCACCAACTCACACGCATATGCCAGCACAAAGTCCTTTTAGTTTTTAATGTAATTTTGAGACTTTTTCAGCTGCTGCTGCTGTGTCACTTTGCTACAGGGATGCGAGGGGGGTAGAGGAGATAGTGAACCTTGGGGGGAACTACACTCTTTTGGGGCGGGTTGAGATGGCAAAAGTTTCATTTTAAATGATTTGCCAGGACAGGCAGTGGCTAAAGGCCTTTAGGCAGAAAGGACATGTAAATATAATATATATTTTTAAAACAAAAAACACTACTTAAGAAAAGTATATATATACATATATATATATATATGTATATATATATATAGATATTAATTTTTTAAATATATTTTTGTATGTTTTGTAGTTTAAAAATAAAATTGTATACTTTATTATTAATTTCAAATTCCAAAAACTCACCTAAAAAATGTCTTTGCTGGTTTTTAAAATTCATTTAATTCTTTAAATAATTATTTAACCTTTGTAATTCTTCATTATGATGATTTTGTGATTGCTTAAACAATCAATTAATTTGTAAACAGCACTTAAGAAACCCTAAAACCATATTATTTGTCAATATTTTATCAAAAAGACAATTTTAGTGAGCCCAAAAAAATGGAAAATAACCCATAAAGAATGGAAATAAAACCAAGTTACAGCCAACTCATATTTCAAACTGATATTTCAACATTTCTTTTAAAGAAAAGTAAACCTATTTTTCCATACATTTTAACTTTAAGGTCTTTCCTTAAAAGAAAAATCCCCCCAAATAACTTAAAGTCTTACTTTCCAAATGCATCTTTCCTTAGACTTTTTCTTTCAATTTAAAAAAGGAACAATTTATGTCTGATTGCCGAGTCATAAATGATACAGTCAGAGGCCCCAAAACAAGTGGTTCGTAAGCCTTTTGGCTGCAAAAAAACAAAATACAAAAAAAAAAAAAAAACCCGAAACGAAACGAATCCAATTGACGGGAATTGAACTGAGCTGAACCACCCGGAGGCCTCATAAATTTCATAGCAAAATTGTTAAATTTTAATAAAATCAAAGCGTATCAAACGCGATTTGTTCACCAGGCGACGACGACTGTATATATTTTTGTGTATTCCCGGGGACACCCCCGTGAAACAATCGTCCTTGCCATCGTTATCCTTGTTCGCAGTCTGGTTATATCGCGTGTTTATTGTTGCAACAGTCGCGCGGGGCTCTTTAAAATAATACAAAGAGGGTTGGACTTTAGCCTTGGATTTTCGGTTTGGTTTAGTCACAGTCATGTTCAAGACAATAGTATTTTAGGAGCATTTATTCTAGTATTTAACCTACAATCAAAGAAAGGGATATAAAAGGTAATAAAAACTTTACTTGAAATTATTGTTATAATATTTATTTTTCCATTATTCCCCTTTTGGTACCTATCACCCTGACCTTAGCTGTCTAGTTTGTATTTACCAACCCCCAGGATGCGCATTTCTAGCATCTCGTATTCCCGTATTCTCGCTTCCTCGATTCCTCCAAGTCAAAGCCCAATGCCTGACGCCTTTTTGTGACTCGTTAAAGGATTAAAATCATTTTAATGGATTTTTCAAGCTGTTGTTTTGTTGTATAATTGTTGCCTCTATTGTAGCCCCGCTTCGTTTTCATAAATAGGGCACGCACACACACAAACACACACAGGGTGGCGATGACAGCAGCTCAGGGATCCTTGTGGGTCCTGCATCCTTTTGCCCTGCCTCATTTGTCATCATCTTTATGCTAATGGCTTGAGGTGTTAATGAAGGCAGCCGCGTTGAGCCAAAAGTTTTGACACTTGGAAAACATGCTGGCATACCAAATTAACCCTCTACTTCTTAGGGTTTTCCAGAAATTGCTTACATTTTACTTGTTTCTTATATTTAATCTATATTTACATTAAAAAGAAACCCAAATCTTAGACATATTCTCTCTCAATATTTATACAAATTTACCGCAACTTAATCTAGGTTCTTTTTTTTTATTTTTTAATCAAATTTCTAACCCCAAGTCATTCCATTAAGAACTCATCCTAGCTCAAAAAGGAATATAAAAAAAAAATAGACAAGGAGCCTGCGGGCATCCTGGGAAATGGTTCTTATCATAATGAGGGGAATATATATATCGGATTTATATATGCAGAATCCTCTAATTAACCCATTAGCCCAGCCCCCGGCGGTAAGCTTACCGGCTTTCCTGGCTTTCCTGGCTTTTCTGGCTTTTCTGTCTTTTCCTCTTTATCTTTCGATGGCCCATAGCCGCGGGCATTTCGGCGGGATTTCGGCTTCGGTTCGTTTAACCTAAACCGGCTAAAGGTATATTTATTTACAGCTAATTTCGCGTGCGGCCCCGCGGCCAAAATAGACGACAGGCAATAAGAGCTCACCTGGGCCGTAAGCCCACCTCTAAACCACCCACCTCCCACCATATTAACCCCTCGTGACTGACATTGATACGTGTGGTTCGCTGTCTAACGAGCGACAAGCCCTTGAGGCCATTTCACAAAAGCCGCTTAGTTCCCGGTTTAGCTCCGCTCAGCTCTGGACGCCGCCCCCATGACTTTATGCCCCTGCACTTGGCGAAAAGTAACCCATAATTTATAGAGATTTTTATGCTAAATGTAAATGTATTTGAGGGTTTTTAAGTAGGGGTTTTAAGGTGGAAATGTATCATTAAGTTAGTAAGTAACGCGGGACAGGGTTTAGTAAATATATTTAAAAAATTATTTTTAAATATTTTAGAAAGGAAATTCTTACTTCAAATAAATGTTTTATTAAATGACCCTTAGTAAATATATTTAAAAATTAGTAAATATATTAAAAATTAGTTAATACAATAAAAAAAAAGATTTTTCAAATATTTTAGACTGGTTTAAAGTTAATTTTGATCAACAAACAGGAGAAATTCTTCCTAAATATAAATGTAAATATATTTTAAAATTAGTAAAGACATTAAAAACAAGATTTTTGAAATATTTAAGATTAATTTTGAATTTATTTTAATTAACAGAAAAAATTTCCTACTTAAAATAAATTTAATACTAAATAAACTTAAAAAAATTTCAAATAAAATTATTTTGTCTATATAAAATATAAATATATAAAATATTTATATACCATATACAATTATTTAATATATATTGTTGAATTGTTTAATTATTTTTCCCCCAGTGTCTGAGATGTTATCGTTCAAGTCCTGTCCCCCATTGACCCCCCTTTAGGATCCTTCCTGTTCACCTGCTCTGCTTACCTGGCAACTTGAAGGGCAATCCGGCCATAAGTGGATCCGGTCCAAAGCGCTGTGGCCCAAATGCAAACGGATGGAAGCCCTGGTGGCGGACCTTAGAGCGGGGTTCCCTTGGTCCATCTACGGTCACCTTGATGGCCTTGGTGTATGTTGCTATTTGGATGGGATTCGTTGAGATGACAATTGTCAGGGTGAAGCTTTTGCCTGCGAAATGAAAAGGTGTCAAAATTTATACTATATTCTTTTGGGTGTTTTTTAATACAAAAGGAAGAAAAAATAGGTAAATTTTGGAAAAGGAAAGAAAAATTATACATAAAAATATACGTAGGATAAAAGAAATAAATTTAATTTAAATTAATTTACTAGAAAATACTGAATTAAAAAAAAATATATATATATAAAAACAAAATATATAAATTAAAAAATATAATAAAATATATTTGAACATTTTGCCATTTAAAACTTGCTTCTCAAAATTATTTTAAAATTCCTTAAGCTTTATATTCTTCATTCTTTTCATATTTTTAATAGATTCTTTAACATATAAAACAATTTAAATGGAAATCTTTTACCAAAAACCTTGAACATTTTTCCTTCTTTTGTTGATTAACTCAAGTATTTTGGCATTCAAAATGTTTGGCAAATGAATTTTATATTCGCGCTTCTGGGAGTTCCATTTTATGGATATTTCAAATATGCAGCGCCACGTTTATGGAGGGGTGAGTTTTTTCAGGGGTTAAGTGTGGTGTTAGGGGGTTAGTATATAGGGGGTGGGGTGGGGGGATGTTGGGTATCCGATCTGGAACCCGGACCAGACAACGCCACAATAGTTGCCATGTCAAAGTCGCCGCATGCTACTTAATATTGCATTGGATGCGAAGGAAGTGTGCATGCAGTTCCGATCCCAATGCCCCCCATCCAAGTCCCGAACACTGAGAGAAATTTGCTGGGAACTTGAATAAATTTTAAATAAATATCTGCTATACTTTTTCTTGGTTAAGAGAAAAATTTCTTAGAGAAGTTTAAGCTGGGGATGAAAGTTTAAAAACTATAAACTATATTAATGTTTTCAGTGTGGAAAAGCATCCTCCGCTCATTCATTCATTCATGGATTTTCGCCCGCTATATGCATGTCTGCGTTGGTATGCGTTTTTATGAAGCTTTCACAACTCCGCCGGGGGTTAATTTTCGCGAAATACGTTACCATTGCCCCCACTTGCCACCATTCTGGGCGATTCCCGTGCTGATTCCAAAAATTCCGCACTTTACTTTCCATGTGCAGAGAGAGCTATGCGCTATTTGCCAAAAATCCAAAATCGAAATCCGTGGGCAAGGCAACCCGTAGAAACGCAACCCAAAGGACGATGGAAAATCTATAAATTCGCAGCATTATTTTGAAGCGAAACACCATCTATTTGGTTTTGTTTTTGGGGTTTAAGTGTATTTTGATGAGTGTATTTAGGAGGTGGCAACGATTTTCTTTTATGTATCAAACGAATTTTGTTTATTTCTTGATTCTTTTGTACACTTTTGTGGAAATATTTGATTTATCAAAGAATCAAAGAAGAATTTAGAGTCTAAAACTAAACTCAAAATTTAAGTTTAAAATCTTTTAACTATAATCATTAATAATGTCTGTAAATTCCACTTCCTTCTCCCCCTCATAATCCATTTAATTCCAAGTCATTTGCAGCTTTCTGGTCGACACCAAAAAGTAAGTATAAAGGCCCCAGCCGAAACACATAAAAAAAAAACAAACAAACTTCTTAGATTAATATTAAATTAAACGAAGCATGCAAAAAACGCAAGAAGGCGGTAATCATTAAGACAAAAGGCGGCAAACAAGCGACGATGTCTGAATTTTCCCCCATCCCCTTAACCAATTGTAACGGCTGTGCAGTGCTAAGGAAAAGTCGGTGGGGAAAAACCCCAGAAACCTACGCAAGAAAACAAATGAACATAAACAGGCGAAACGAACCAAGAAACCCAACAAAATGAAATGAAACTTTTTTAATTATGCGCCATGGAGCAGAGGAGCAACAAGCTGGGGAAAAGCGTAGGAAAAACCTAGAGGATGCAGAGAGGGATGAAGGACAGACCAGGAGGAATGGAAGGAGTAACCATAGAAGGGCTCGCAAAGTGGCTAAAGACAAAAGACTTTGGCGTCGTCTATTTTTGTTTTCTATTTTTTTTTTTTTTTTTTGTTCTTTTGTGTTTTGCCAAATGAGCAAAAATTGCAAATAAATCTGAAGCTGTAGCCATTTTCCAACTTCCCCCCACACCCCCACACACAACCAGACATTTTCCTGGGGGCGGGGGCGTGGCATCAACAACAACGGCGACAAAGAACTTTTGCCTGCTAATAAGATGAAAAACCATTAAAAGTCGACACAAGTCGCGTCCATTGCAAGTGGAAAATAGAGGGGGTAGGAGGGGGGTTGTCGGGTGTGGGTTGTAAAATAGTGCGGGGGCTGGGTTTGGGGGAAAATTCAGCTGGGGGGAGGTGTGTAGCCGGAGCTAAAATGTTGTCATTTTCGCAACAAAGCAGAAATTATCACCACTTTGCAAAAGGCGACGACAACGACATCGTCGTCGGCAACGGAAAAGGAGTTGGAAAATGCGGAAGAAGTGGGCTGGGGAAAATCGAGCCAGGAAGGTTTTTCGGTGGCAATATGGACAAAGTCTGCACCCTTTTAGCCAGGACCAACAGTGTGTGTGTGTGTGTTTGTGCCGTTCGCTAAGTGATTTTAAAACAAAGTTTTTGAAACGTTTAACCTTACACAACAAAAATGAGTATATAGAAGCCAAAGCCTTTTGCCTGCATTTTAACTTTCAATGCTGATAATGAAGGCAGGACCCAACCCCAACTCACCCCTTACCCCATCCTTTGGGGGGTGGCAAGTGGGCGAGGCAAGGACACAACAAGGGTTCGTATGCTTAGGCAATTTAATGGCTGCTCTTGCCACTGTGCCAGAGCCTGTGTTAATGTCGTTAGTAGCATGGCGCCATAATTATAATTTGACGTAAGACAAGAAGTCTGAGGTTGACAACAAAATGACATTTTAAATACAGCAACGAAACAACCCCCGGGCGGCTTCTTGTATTTAGACACTTAACAGATCATAATTTCAACACTTTTGCCTAATGGCCAAGGATTCATAGAGGATTTTTCTGGATTCCAAGAGATCAAACTGGCATATATGTATATTTAAGGACGGGGAAAAACTTTCTTAAGCCCCCAAAAAATAACTCTTGGGGGGAGAATAACTCCAGTCTTGGCCGCTCCCTTTATTTGCATAAACTTCACTTTACATTGTGTCCCTTGGGAAAGGGATGTGCATACATAGATCCTTGCCAGCCATAAATATTCGTATGTTTATTTTATATAGCAAAAAAAGGACAAAGCCAGGCGCTGTATTGTCAAGTATTGGGGGGTTAAGAGCACTCCTTTGTCTTTTTAACTTGGCCAAAACGGAAAGAGATGGAAGATGTTTTGTTAACTTTGGAAATCTCATTCTAAGAAATGCTACCAAAAAAAATATACTATATAATATAAATATTATAAAATCCTTAATTATAAACTATCTTTATCGTTTTCTTAAATTTAATATCTTCATTGTATTTATTTATTTTAACTTATCTTATTGTTGTCCTTTTGGCTTTGCTCCTTAACCCCCCGAAGGCACTTTTTCTCCCCTGTCTGGGGGTTGCTTTAAAAAATAATAATGGTACCCATGTTTCTGCTTCGGTTTCAGTTTAATAATCATAAATTGTAACCCTTTTAGGCAAAACTTTTCAGCTTCTTGTGTTGACATCCGCTTTTTTGGTTGGTTCTTTGGTGGATTTTCCCTGGATTCTCGATTTCAACGGGACTTTGGTTGGTTGCATGGCCCCGAGGCACAAAATAAGCCGAATGATGATGATGATGGAAAAACTTTCTCACACGATGTGGCGTTGAAGAAGGAAATTAAATTTCCAGCCAAGTCGAAAAATTATATTGGCAATAAATGAAGACACAGCCCGAGACGCGGATGCGGACGGAAAATGAGACTGAGGACCAGACGCTCCCTGCAATTACGACTTCTCATTTGCGGGGGTTGGTATACCAGGGATGGGGGGCGTACTCCCCCTGGCCAAAAGAGGGGCGGCGATACGCACAGCGATGCCAAACAGGAAGCCGGAATCGACGTTTATTAAAACGGAAACTCGAGACAACTGTGCGGCGGCACCGTCAACATCAGCAGAAAAAAAAAGAAATCACAAAAAAAAAAAACACCGAAAATATCAAGAAATAAGGTTAAAATCAAGAGTCACGACCATGGAATACCCGGCCTTTAGGGGGGGAACAAATATGATAGCATACTTTTGGGCAAAGCTCTAGCTGCAGATTGTTAAAATTTGGGAAAATTACAAAAAAACGTATTTTAGAAAATGTTAAAAAATAAACATTTCGTTTTTTAAATATAAAAATAATAAAAAATGTAATTTCTAGTAGAAAATATACATTAATAATTTTCTCATAAAATATGTGTATATACATTTATTTCAAACTGCTTAATATTTCAATTTTTTTGTACTAAATTATTTTTATAAAAACATTTTTTATGCATTAATAAGCCTTAAATATCTTTTTAATATAACTTAATACAAATTAAAAATCTTAAAAATATATATTTATTTTATTTTTTAAACCCAATAAACATATTTTTATATACTCTTGAACTCTCCAATTCCCGGGTTTAAAAAGCAACAAAACAAGCGTAAAAAAAAATCTTTAAAAAAATTCTTGAAAAAAAAAATCCTGAAAAAAATCCAGCTTTCCGCAGGAAAAGAAAGAAAACAAACGCGACAAAGACGATGGCGACAAGGACATAATTCTGTCCTTGGGGCTAGCTGATAAGCCAGTCCCACCCACTCACTAAAACCACCACCACCACCACCACCACCATCAGCAGCAGCAGCAGCAGAAGCATCAGCACCCACGCAAAAGGACACAGGCCGCTAAATTGCAATTTTCAAGATTTAAGCGTGAACAATAAATGTCACATAATCTGTAAGTAGCCAAATAAAGGGACACTCCCCCTCACCAGGACCGAGTAGCTAAGCTATTTAATTTAATTTATCGCATTTTAAGCATCCAACGAAACAATAAACCCACCGAAAAAATAAAGAGCCAAAACAGAAAATGGTAAAAATAATATGTA